TTATTCCGTATACCTACATCGTTAATTTCAACATACCGACAAAAAGTCAACAATTAAAACTTTCAACACCCAACACTTAGACACATAATATGAACTTTATAGTTATTTCATTAATTAAAAATTATATGTTAAACATTTTTATGTAGTTATTACGATATTTAATAATTGATGTGAATACATATAAAAATATTTATTTACCTGTCGGAGTGTCTGTTCTGGCGGCATCTTGAGCTATTTTAAACACATAAAATATTAATTTACTTTTATTTTATTTTCTCGCTCAGTATCTAGACGTCCATCACAAACAGCAATTCTGTATTAATAAAAACAAGTCATACATTAAACCATTATTCCAAGTTGCATTTCTAAATGTTTTTTGTTGTTATATAAGTATTTGACAATAAATAATTCATAATAATATCTATTAGTCAAGTAGGTTCGATTTAGCGTCAACCTGCATTCGGCGACTGTTATTTTTATAATGATTTATAGTACATTTTATCAGAATTTTTTCTTTGGCTTTGCTGTGACTATTCATGTTACTTGTTCATTGTTTAGTCACTAGAAATTCGTACAATTGTTTAAAATGTATCTTCGTTATACGTTTGTCATGGTCTAGGTTTTTGGATTAATGTTTACGAGAGGCATTTAGGATACCTTCCACGTTTTTTATGAGTATTACGTGTCGTTCCTTGTACTTTTCTAATATTATTTAGTTGATCTAAAGTTTTCATCAATGGGTGAAAAAGAATAATTTACTTAGCAAATAAAAAAACTCATGTACTTGTAAAAAATTCGCATAATCATCAGAAAGCATTGCCTTTTTTATTAAAACTATATTTTCAAAGAACTAATAATATTTATTAGAGGATGTTGACATAAAGTAGACGTAAAGTAGATCAATATTTCTTAATAATTTATAAGTGTGTTATATTTAACTTGTAACGCCTATTTATACATTTCTTTTTCAAATAATATATTAACATATCTTATTTCTTATACAACATATTTTTTTCTATAGTCTTGTTTCTGTTTAGTCTGAGATCTTCATACTGTGAGGTGGACAGAAAAATTCTTTTGTATTATTTTTTTAATAATTAATTTTCATATACAAAATATGTATGAAATAATTGCAAAATTTTACACTACTACATTTGAGTTTTGTAATGTAATGAGTCATAATATTTGTGATGATACAAATTACACTTATTACACGAAATAAAATCGGGTCAAAAAAAAATTATATTTGTGCATATCTATGTGCCTTTATTTCAATAATATTTGACCTCAAAAAGAAAACCGCTTTAAAAATTGTCAAAATAATACACACACCAAATTTTTTGAGATATAATGATGGAAATAAAGTATCTTACATAAATAATCAGGGAGTTTGCATTTTCACTATTTACGGAGAGTTTTACTTTTTCATTCATAAATTAATGAAACAGTCAATGGTGGCCTAATGGTTAAAAGGCCCGCTTCTCATGCGTGAGCGCGCGGGTTCGGTCCTGGCCCAGGCCCTGGCCCTGAGTATTGAAACATCACTGATTAATGCATTCCCAAAAGAGGGTTGATGTCAGGCAGGCGACCGGTCGTAAAAACAATTAGCCAAAACTATTCATAACATGTAAGGTAGATCCTGGCTAAAGCTGGGAAATTGCTAGGTAGAAGAAGAAGAAATTAGTTAATAAAACGTAGGCTGTTGGATGAAAAATTTACGCTAAATCAATATTTATTTTTTTATTTATTTTATTTATTTAAGCTTACACAATAATACATATATTAACAGTGAATTGTAAATACAATAAAAAGAATGTAGTACGTACCTAAGTCTAATACATAGTTATAAACATGTTATTTTTTAAAGTTAACATTCTTATTTAACATATATTTTTTATTGCGATCACTATATACATATCATAATATTAAGGTAACAAGCAGGCTGATATAAAATGAGTTATGTTTTGACCTCGAAATTGTACGTTTTTTGCATTATAATGATATCATTGATTTCAGTATACTTTAATATATATATTTTTATACATTTTTGCAGGCACTTTAAACTTTTTCCAGGACATATAACATGGCTAAAATGTTTCTTTTCACCCTATTAATTACGTAGATAGTATGAAAGAAATTTAACTTACAAGAAAATATTAACTTATTTGATACAAAATATAGTCTTAATAAATCTTTAACGTTTTCATTATCTATTTTACGAAAACGAATAATAATGTTTAATCTAACTTTTTTATATTCAACAATTGTAAATGAACTGAACTTTCCAGTTTTAAAGTAATTACTTATTTCAATGCAATTGTAACAGCTTGATCTATTAAATGTATAATAATTAGTCGTAAATATGCTTACAAACAGAACTAGTTTTATATTAACGATATATTAATTTAAGTATCAATAATATCTTATCTTATAAGCTTTGTCAACCAATAATATTCATTAAATTTAAGTACATTTGTAATTAATATATCTTTTGAATATTTTATGTTTGCTTCTGTTGGTTATTATAATAAAATGACAAAAAATTAATGCTTCGTATATTTTCTACGTCATTGGACTAATTCAAACTCCTTTATATACCTATATAATATGCCATTTTCATATTTTTTTGTAGGTGTAGAGCCTAGCTGTGGTAAAGTTACTGTCGCACGAACATGGGCTGTCTCGACCAGGGAAGTACCACCCTCTCACAGAAGTGAAGTAGCCTTTAATGGCTGCGTTTTGTTCGATGAGTGAGGGAGCCGGTTGCTTTTCTATTTCCTATTTCCCTTCCTTTCCGATTTTTTCCTCCCCCCCTCTTCCCTAAACAAGGGTGGTGACAGATTCGGACATCTTTTATGTTACGGATGTCAATGGGCGATGGTACTATCAGGTAAGCCGGTTGAAATCTGCTTGGTTGAAACCTTTGGCATAATTTTTTTTTATCTAAAATGAGTTTCCCTTTGTTGCTCAAAAAACAACTCTAAATGCCATTCAAATTAAATCAAGCACATGTTAAATCTTAAAGGCCTCAACAACAATATTGCTACATTGTATTTAATTTGCAAGATTCGTAGGCAAATATGTCGATATAAACAACTCACTGTAAACAACCTTATGTATGTTATTAAATCATAAAATTTTATCGATTATTATTATTATTTCTTTCATTCATTCAAGTAACAGTGACTCAATAAAAAAAATACATAAATTTGGCCCACAAGCCGCACGTGTAAAAAGTGGTGCAATAGGCTCGCGATTTTCACGTTCAGTGAGCACAGCGCAAACTTGCGAACCAGCATATTCGCCCTTGTCGGCAACGCCCGGGCCCTACGCTCTCGTCCAATATCAGAGTCATCACTGAGACTAGGAGTTAGGACATGACCGAGATATTTGAAAGTTGAGACTCGCTTTAATGGTACTCCGTTTATTTTTACCGGAGGCATGTTTTCCATTTTCTTACCCCTAGTCTCGAAAACCATGATAATTAGATCAGAGTTTAAAAAACTTTTGTTTTTCAAAGACTAAATTCAGAATTTTGCTGTTCGAACACTCGAAACTGAGTTACTATCATTCGCACAATTCGAAATAAAAGTGCATATTGGATTAGATTTTCCATTACAAATTAACACTTCGTAAAGTAGTGTATAAATTGAATGCTTGATAATGCTACTGAATCGATCGAGTGGGCAGAATACATATGTGTGCTGACAGTACATAATTATCTTTAGTTGGCTTGAGTTTTAAGTTTTAACGTAGTCGTTTACAAATTACCAAACAATTTGTTTGTAGAAAAACTGTTCAATACATACATTCTATCAACAAGTTTAAATATCCATGTATTTCGATTTTTATTCAATTCACCGGTTTATCAGTATCATTTACGCTACCGGAGACATTTTTTTATGTCTATAGTTCATAGTTCATTCATCTAGTGTCTAGGTTTCGTGTTTATACATATTACATTTTTGAGTATTATTTTTATTCGCTATAGTACGAGAGATAAGACTACATTAAACCACTTAAATTTAACTAAAATTTCCTCTCTTAAAGGAATCGCTAGTAGTAATAGTAGTAGTTTTCTACCTTCGCATCTTCGGTCGAACTAAAACGATTAGTTTAACTAACATGATGTAAAAAATACTAAATGGATTTTAAAGAAACTTTCACTAATGTAGCATGGACATCATCTTAAGACTATAATTTATATCAGAAATTATGCTAATTTAAAGGTTTTAAACCTGTATTCACTATCTTGTATGAAATAACTTGATATAGATTATTATAGATGTCGCTTCTCGTCATATATTGTCCTAAAGAGTAGATAAGATTTGTCATAATCTTTTCTTCTATATATATATATATATATATATATATATATATATATATATATATATATATATATATATATATATATATAAATGGATTGCTGTTCCTAAGTCTCGCTAAAACTCGAGAACAGCTGAACGGATTTATCTTATCTTAGTCTTGAAATGTTCGTGGAGGTTCAGGGAAGGTATAAAAGCTGAAAAAAATTGATTCATTACTGGGAAAACCATAAAAAGCCCTTTTATATTTCCGATACAAACGTTTTTTTGACATTAGATTTGACAACTAACTAATATGTCAATCATTCTGTCGCACTTCAAAACACGGAGATTTATGGCTTACAGGCAAACTCCAAAAATATAAATAAAAAAACGTAATAGATATTTCTTGATTACAGGGCGATACGAAGTTCGTCAGGTCTTCTAGTCACAAATAAATGGTCAGAATATTTGACAGCATAAAAATGATAATTTCTGTACGAAATTGCCCTGTCTTGTTAAATACGTTAGAGTTTCAAAAATTGGTAACTCGGGACATAACGAAACAAAAATAAAATATCATATATAGTATACATATATAAATTAGTTTATAAATATATTAGTTTATATATTATAGTGCGCGCGTGTGTGTGTGTGATTGTTTATTAAAAGATTTCATGACCACAGGTGAAAGTTATGAGTTCACAAGCGGAAGCATTAAACCAAGCGTCGCAAGCGGCGGTTGCTCACGCGCAAGCTATGGAAAAACTTGCTGAAGCTTCTGACATACAGGTATATATGTATATATTGCAATCAATTTATTTACAATAATGTATAGACTCCCTAGTCTATACACTATGTGCAGTAATGAACTGATTACTGATTATGATTTACTTATACTGAATAAAATACATAATCTATGAAGGTTTAAAAGAAAGGAGAAGTCACTATGTGACATTCATTTAACATAAGTCCAAATTACAAAGAATTCTAAAAGGAAAATTATTCAGAAGCAATATATGTATAATAATGTGGTACTATTAAAACTTTGTATCGTCGTATGTCTATGGAAAACCTATATTTTTTTTTCAACGAAATAACTTCATTCACGATACGTTTTTTTCTCGCCTGGGTTATTATTTCTAAGTCCGTGTCTACAGTGTTGAGTATGTTAACTTTACCACCACCTACTATCCGCACTAGGCGCACAGAAAATTTTATTCTCATAATATTCTTACTTTCACTTTTATTATAGACTAGCTTTCCGCCCGCGGCTTCGCCCGCATCGAGTTCGGTTATATCGTGTTTCCAAGAGAACTTTTCAAAAGTCTGGGATAAAAAGTATCCTATGTTCTTTCTCAAGGTCAACTCTATCTCTGTACCAAATTTCATTAAAATGAGTTCAGTGGTTTATGCGTGAAAGCTTAACAGACGGACAGACAGAGTTACTTTCGCATTTATAATATTAATTTTGAAAGTACATAGGGATTATAGTAGAAACACTTATTGTGTTAGTCGATTTGAATGTTCTTTCTATGAATTTCATTAATTAAAAGTAATAACATTATGTTTTATCGTTTTTCAGGCAAGAGCTATAGATCGTCTAGCAAATACATTTACTACTATGTCAGGTGTGACGCACGAGGTTAGAGATGCAATTGTTGACATTGACGTATCCTTAAAGAGGTTATACACAGCGCCCACTTAGCATTAATTAATATAAATAATTATAAGAAAATGTATGTATATAAAGGTGCATTTACGGATCCCAATTTTTTTACGTCACAAATAACATAAAATATTATGATTTAGTGTCACTTTTGACGTGGGATCATGTTGACGAGATTTTTGATGCAAATAGTATGGTAAATACTAAATATGAAGTATTTAGAATGGGAGTTTCATCTGTTTATTCTAGAGAGTGAAGTGCCATTTTAAAGACAAATGCGTGTCAAAAACGACTATAATTTATAATCTTTGTAATAAAAGAGAACTTTTATTTAGAATAAGTTGTAAGATTTTGTAAATAAAGCAATTTTAAGTGATATTTACTTTGAAACATATATTTATTTTAAAAATCCACTCCAATATAGTTTTGACACTTATAAATTTTATGAAAACATTTTTATTAGTATTATTACACTAGTAATACTCTAATATTTTTGTGACATCAAAATTATTTTTACATACTTACATTAAAAACAAAAAAAAATATTTGTTAATTTTGGTTTATCTCTATTTATCTAGAGGATTTTTTACTGGGAAATAGACATAGTTATTGCTCTAATAACAAAACAAAACTAAATTTTTAAAGAGAATAATGAAAACATTGTATCATGTTGAATCACTTGTCAAGTTTTGATTTCCGCAGAATAATGAATAATTGCATCCAAACTCCCCTCCACAATAATAATAAGTATTCTTTTATTGTACACCAAAGAATAAATAAATCATACAGTACAAAACTTGATCAAAATGTACAATTGGCGGCCTTATCGCTAACCAGCGATCTCTGCCAGGCAACCATGTTACGTAGGACACAGTAAAAAGAATAAATTAAAAAAAAACATTTGAGGTGTACATATGTATAAGAGAGAAAAATATACTTTAAATATACGAAATTATACACATATATATAGTAAAACATATATATACTACAATCAATATACAATAATCTATATGTATAATTTATATATATATATATATATATATATATATATATATATATATATATATATATATATATGTATATATATATATGTATATTTATAAAATTTTAAATATAAGCAAGATACATCGCAGAGTAGGAGTTTAGAATAAATAGAAAAATAAAAATCATAAATATTAAGGAAACACAATACATGTATCCTTGCCTTCGGCCTAGCCACCCTGAGTCAATACAACTCCTCTTTATTTTTGTTATTTATTAAGTAACGTTGAAGTACTTTTATTTAAGGAATCAGGTTAATTGGGACTTTTTTTTTGGTATTTCATCATAATCCAGAATAAAATAGTAAGCCAGTTCATAACACTCATTCAAATTAAAAAAATGTATCTTTATATTATTAAATCGATTAAATAGATTTTATGAAGTCAGAGAATTAGATTAAGTTCTTTTTGTCCTTTTTTTTTTGATGTCGCAGGGAAACTCTTTTTACGAGCCGTCCAACCGGCCTTGGTGGGGCCGAAAGGGATGTGTGAGACTCGGCCTGGGCAGAACCTACTCACTAAAACCACTGCGAAAGCCATCGGCCGCTGTATCAGTGTACCCCGGATTTGTCAACGACAGAGCACACCAGCGACTGGCCGGTCCTGGAAAAGAGCGTACTTACTCCCTCGGAGAATGGGGGCGATTCCGGCAATTAGGATCGCGCCGACGACGCCGGGCTTTCATTAGAGCCGGGTTACCACGCCAACCCCAGCCCGGAACACAGGGGTGCTATTGGAGGCGTTGGTATTGCCTCCGTCGCACCTCCGTACGTCGCCTGCGGGGGGAGGGAGCATCAGCCGCCCTCTCCCTTTCCCGCTCGGATGCCTCCTTCGTGGACATGACCGTCTCACAGAAGGAGGACACCGCCAGCCAGGGCCAATCACTCTCGAGCATCTTCTCCACGATACTCGAGAGCGACAAGTAGACTCCGCCGAGGCCGCCTCAAGGTCTTGGCGCTGCGCAGCCCATCTCGGGCACACCTCGAGGGTGTGCTGGGCCGAGAAGTTCTTTTTGTCCATAGCTATTATTTCTACAAAATATTTATTGAACAACTCTTTTTATAACTTATTCAACAATTTGACAAACTTTCAAAACATATTTCATTTATATATGTATAAGTTAATGAAATAAACATAAAAAAACAAGTTTGAATTTCAATGCTGTTAAAACATTATCTAAGCGCACAGTAGTGCGCCGGCCAAGTTCCACAGGCCGCGCGCATGCCGTGCACTATTTACACGAACCGTTTCGACCCACTTTTGACCCCACTGTAGCTCAGTGCCTATTGCAAGTACAGAGATAAAATTGTACCTACGTAATCATATACTAGTACTAAAGCAGTATGCCAAATCTCATAGATAAAGCTTCAGTAGATCCTGAAATATGACCCTGTGAAAATAGCTAATTTTGGCACTGACTCACTGACAGGTAATCAAAACCTCTAGGTCACTTCCCATTGTTTTAGCATTATGAAATTTGATACACAGGTTGTGTGTTATATGTAGATTAACAAAAAATTAAGAAATCGGTTAAGCGTGAGTTGCCTCAATTCTAAATATCGATTTTTTAATAAATTCGACCCACTTTTGACCCCCCTGTAGCTCAGTGCTAATTGCAAGTACAGAGATAAAATTGTACCTACGTAATCATGTACTAGTACTAAAGCATCATCATCATCATCATCAGCCAAAAGACGTCCACTGCAGGACATAGGCCTCCCCCAAGGATCTCCACGACGACCGGTCTTGTGCCACCCGCATCCAGCGGATTCCCGCGACCTTCACCAGGTCGTCGGACCACCTTGTTGGGGGCCTACCCACACTGCGTCTTCCGGCTCGTGGTCGCCACTCAAGAACCCGTTGGCCCCATCGGGCATCGGTTCTGCGAGCGATGTGCCCTGCCCACTGCCACTTACGTGTTGCAATTCTTAATTCTTATTGTTCAGTACTAAAGCAGTATGCCAAATTTCATAGATAAAGCTTCAGTAGATCCTGAAATATGACCCTGTGAAAATAGCTAAATTTGGCACTGACTCACTGACAGTTAATCAAAACCTTTATATAGGCGCTCATCTCAGCACAATAAAATACATAATAATGAAATATTAATAATTAATAATATGAGTACATCTATCCATCGGTGTTAAATGAAACTAAAAAATAAAAAATAAATATACTTTAAAAAAAAAACTAAAAAAACACGCTCCAATGATGAAAGAAACCGCGTGGAAACTAATTTAACCTTTATAACCTTGGAAATCAATTTAATTTAAATTGTTTAAAATAAACAATAAAAGGTATTATTGAAAAAAAAAAAGCGTGGGGCGCTTCTAAAGAAGTGATAAATGAAGCTCACCACGCTTTTTTTCACAAAAATACCATTTATTGTTTGTTAATTTATTTTTAAAATAATATTATTGTGAAAAAAGTGTGGGGCGCTTCTTAAGAACTGATATATATATTACGGATATAAAATATTGTCATGTATACGTAATGCACACTGTGTAACTTAATTCAATATTGCTTACCTAAAAAATCAGGTTTCTATTGTTTAGGTACGATTTCTTGAAAAGAAGTATTGAAATCTCACCAAAAACATGTCTGTTAAAAAGGGGGCCAAGTTCCAATCGGCTAATTGTTTGCCTAAAAAAGGGTTGAAATCCAATCTAATGCCAAGTTTAGATGCACTTTGATATCGATCATAATCATCTTCATCAACGGCTTGATCCACTGGTAAACATTTGCCATTCCCAAGACTCGCCACCACACCCAGTCCCCTGCCTTCCACATCCAGCCACTACCCGCCACCTTATTCACGTCAACGGTCCATCTGGCCGAAATTCTTAAATGTTATTTTTATATTTTTTAATATTTCTTATGAAAATCCCTCAATAAAAATAAAATATATTTCAGTTCTTGTGCCAATAACCACGACTATTATTAAGACAATACTTAATTTCATACATTAACCTTCTTATATTGCTATCAGGTATTACTTTGTGAGTTATATGTATTTATATATTACAAATACTATATTATATAAAGAAAACGTACTAATTGATCTGTCAACATCAGAATTATCTAAAGTGCGGGCGATATTATGTCTGTATATGATATAATGTCTGTCTGTTTATGATATAATGTGTATTCTCACAGAATAAAGGTCATATAATACTAGTATAAGGATCGTAAATAGTCAACCTAATTGACGTTAATATTGATAAAATACATTATTTAACAAGTGTCGGTAACAAGCAATAGTCAAAAATACAAAAGAACGTATCTCGTACTCGGAAACATTAACAGATTAAAGAGAAACAGAATCCAAGGTTTTAGCTGTTAGTAACTTGGTCGACTTGTTTATTGTAGTAAATGCTTATACACTAAATATATAGGATGGCAACAAGAGGTTCCAGGAAAACTACGAAACTTACTTATAAGTATATAATAATAAGAATTACATATTAAAACTTATACCTACACCTAGGATCACACAACATGATCACCTTAATCTAACAGAGAAAAAGGTATTCATTGAATTATGTTTAATCTATATTTTATATTTGTTTTGCTTCAACCGACAAACCAACATTAGTACCAACAAAGGGAAAACCAGCCAACAACCCTTAAAGATAGGTTGCCTTCGTCAAACTAGAGTTCCGGACGAACTCAATTATGTTGTTTGAAAAAAAAGGATAGTAACTAATTATACTTATTATTATTTTGAAACAAAGAAATTCTATATCGGATTCTAGTTCAACTTAAAACTTTTTAAATTTTGCAACGTGCCTACAAGAAACAGTGTGTACCTGAACTATATTACTATGAATTTCAAGAGTTTAAATTTTATTTGGAAATAACTTTATTCCACAACAGTTCTCTCTTACAAAACTGTCAAAAGGTATTTATACGACAAATAAAAAACCGAGGTTGAGAGATGCTGGTATTATTTCAGATGTTATTTTGATAATGTAACGATTAGGTCTTGTTTACAAAATA